ACCTTCATTCCAGTACTGTGCTGTCCCGGAGATCTCCACCAGTCACTGTACAGAACTATACTTACCTTTATTCCAGTACTGTGCTGTCCCGGAGATCTCCACCAGTCGCTGTACAGCACTAACTTACCTTTATTCCAGTACTGTGCTGTCCCGGAGCTCTCCACCAGTCGCTGTACAGATTATACCCTTCATTCCATACTGTGCTGTCCCAGAGCTCTCCACCAGTCACTGTACAGAACTATACTAACCTTCATTCCAATACTGTGCTGTCTCAGAGCTCTCCACCAGTCACTGTACAGCAGCACACAGGCAGGTAAGGAACTTTAATGCAAAAGAGATGGAGTATGTCTCTTTTGCATTTAAATCATTCCGGTTCTTAAACATTTTTTTTTCTTACTTAAAGTTCCACTTTAAAGCAATATTCCAGACTAACCTGTGTAAGAAAGATGTATATACTTATTCATATTCTGCCCCCTCCAGTCCAATCACATGATCCCTTGTGTCAGCTAGCAGCAGTCGTAGGGGAGAGGAGAGAGCACTCGACAGCAGCTGGGAATGTCTGGAGCGGTGACATCAACCATAGGCTCCAATGGCCCATCTGTTGTCTGTGCTCCCTCCTCTCCCCTGCAGCCACTACTGATTGACAAAGGGGATTTGATTGCATGACCGAACCAGAGATGACTAAAAATAGGCAAATATATACATCTTTCTTGCACAGGTTAGTCAAAATAGGTGTTAGGTGTTGGGGAGAGAGCATTTTTAAGACTAGTTAGGTTTAGTCTGCAATTCTACTTTAATGATTTTTAATGAATTTATAAAATAGGCGATTTTTTTTTAATGCAGTATATATCTGAGTGGAGTTCAGCTCTAAATGGCACACAATCCCGATATCTTTTATGTTTGGCATAAAACAGTTTATCTTTTTCCTGCAATTCTTTTGAAACGTGATAATCCACACAATACAAAATAATGAAAGTTTTGGGTCCATCAGCTTTGTTTCAATGCTTGTTTGTGACAATGCTGGAGGTAGGACATGCGGATATTGCAATATTTAAATATATTGATAAATATAGCGAAGAAGAGCAGAGTGAGCCCTGGTTCACACTGAATGCAACTCCGAAATTGCGATACTTCAAGTATTGATTTCAAAGCTGCAGATCAGTGCGATTTGTACCTCCAATTTCACTGTGGCTTGCGACTTCATTTAATAGAAGTCATTGCAAGACGTAATGAAATCAGAAAAAAGTAAGGAAGGAACTATTTATGAAATCGTGCTACTTCAAATCACACCGATTAAGACAGTGCCATAGAAATACATTAGATGCGACTTATAAATCACATGTTGCACCTGAAGTCCCACCAGTTTGAACCAGGGCTAAATTTGTCCAAAGACAAGATAGGATCATTTTTTGTTTAAGATTTACTGGGTCATATTTATAAGGCAGTGAATGATTTTCACCAAACATTCACTGGTGGTGAATCAAATCACTGCCATTTAAAAGGCATGCACCAGAAAGATTCACCACCTGCTGCAAATGTTTACTGAATAACAGATTAACTGCTTTTTAAATATGTGCAAAGAGTTCACCCACCCAAATGTGTACACAGGTGTTTGGACCCAGGAACAGCCACAGCAAAGTCCCTGAGAGGTATAAGGAATGATCAGATGGTCTAACTCTACATCCACTAAGTCTATAATTGGGTGGAGGGCCCTTCAATGATCGTCAGACCAGGAGATTCGGAAAGCTCAAGTACAAATCAATGGTCATACTATGTCTGGGGACTAACAAACAGAAAGAACATTACAAAAGATCATAGTCTTAAAAATCAAGGGTTTAAAGGATAAGTTCAACTTTTAGACAAAAATAATAAATGCACATTTTTTGCAGGTAAAAAAAAAAGTGCATTTATTATTTGTGTCTACAGGAGCCTGGAAAGTACTGCACTATCAATCAGTAGATCACTGATGCCATGCAGGTCTCCTGCAGACCTGTCCGAATATCTGCTTGCCGTACGGGATGTACAACCAAGCAGATATTTTGACAGGAAGCTTTAAAGGAACTACCATGGGGCTCCACACCGTGGAGTTCAATGAAAACTACAAGCCCACAGCCGCTAAAGGTGTCAGGACTTGCAGTTCATTCATTCACGGAAATCCGTGAATGATGTGTCCGTGTGGGCGGAGCCCCACACGGCTGCGCGGTTATCAAATTTGACAGATCGTACAAGCAGAAGTCTGTCAGAGGGAGGGGCGGCTGGTTGCTGGCTGCGGCTATGGGAACATGTTACATGTTCCACCCTAAAAACAGGTGTAACATGTAACACATTCCCAAAGGTGAACTCATCCTTTAATGATTCTGTTTTATGTTCGCTGTTGCATGGCTTTCAAAGATATTTCAGAATTCAGCTTTCAAAAAACATTAATTGCCCAAAATTTTAAGGCATGTCCAAGGATTATTTCAGAGGACATTTAAGCAAACAAAAAGGTTATGATTGCATTATTAAAATGTATATGCTTGAACAAATTATTCTCAATATCTACACTGTCCATCTCACGTCTATGGCCACTATAGATTACCCCGGTGCTCCTAACAATTATGCAATTCAAATTCTGGAACTTAATGTACCTTTTGTCTTTTAAAAACAGTTTTCTGTATTCTAAGATAAACATATAAATCTGATATTAACTTACATCTTGGCAGCATTTGCTGAGGTTCATAAAATATATATTCTATTTCTTGTTTGTAAGACACTTGTGTCTTTTACTTCCCCTCCCATATGGATATCAGTCTATACATTAAGGTCAGGCAATTCTAAGGTTTAACTGGCAAGTGATTTTCTTGTAGCTGCTGTTCAGCAAGGGTCCTAGCTGCACTATCTAGCATACAGTGTAACCACTAGAGGATGTTTGTAATAAAAGTTTTAAAAAAATCATCAATATGAAATATGATTGCAGAGGGGAATATAAAATTTCATATCCTATAAACACCTCCAAATCAGTACATCATAAAATGCAGATTTGTTTTCACTATTAAAGATGATTGCAGGCTATGAGTTGGTTATGGCTGTCTACATTTTCTGTTATGGCTTTCTGCATTTTTTCAGATCATCTCTCTCAGAGCTGCTACTAAACAAGCCCAACAGACTACATATGCACAACCAGCACCCCCTTTGAAGTGGAACAACCCTGTGCAAGGTAGGCCATGGTAGGTTCCATCATCTAAAACAGTGCTGGAGGACTAAACAGGTGATTGGGTCTTTTACATTATACACCTAAAATCAAAACAATTAGAAGCTTAACACAATTGGTAGTGTTTTCAAGTTCATGAACCCAGCACATATACATATATATATTTAACAAGTGAGAATAAATGGAAAATCTCTAATACCACACAACACATAATAACACAACCAGGCTTGAGGAGTAGAAGCGTTTGCAATAATCAGTTTAAGCAGGAGGCAAGAGAGAAGCGTTGTTGAAGTCAAGCAGCATATGAAAAAGTAAAAGTCTGGAGGCCACAGGCAGCAATTACCCTCGTGGTTATGTAGTACAGTTGGTTGGCTGTTGTGGGACATCCTTGGTGCCTATGACAGGTGATCCAAAGTTCCAATAGACACCAATGTCACATTGGCAAGAAAGGCTAATGATATGGGAAAAAAAAAAGTCTTGCATCTTTAACACTCAACTTGATTAAGAATCATCTTGCCAATGATTGGTTTCCATCCTAGAGCCTTCTCTACTTTCTTGGTCTGGACGCACCCAAAATATATTCATTTTCAGAACCAGGATAAACCCCCAGATCTGTGCTAAGGCTTACTGTCACTGTATCACTTATTTTTTACTAAGACCATTTGTTACTTTTCCTCTGCGGTTCTTTCTTCTGGAGTATGTGGGTCCCTCGCTGTGTTTCTGGGGCACTTCTGCTGCTTAAAAAAAAGGGATTGTGTTAAAAAATGGGTTATGAAGGATGATGTTCCAACAAAGTTTGCTCGGTGTTTACATTTTGGTTAAGAGTTACATGTTTTTCTCAATGCCCTTCGGTAGTGTTTTATTTGTGGGCTGTGGGGATTGTGGTGGGGAGCTGTGGGGATTGTGGTGGGGATTCTGGGGATTATTGAGTTTTTCGGGGCATCTGTGTGCACGTGCAGTGGCAAAAACAGGTTTTGCCACTGCACATGCAGGAATAAGCTGTGAAAACACAAGAATATCAGTACACAACTTTATGCACATAGCACTGTTGTCATTTATTACTCAACACACATGCCTGATGAGAACCCCAATTTAATTGGATTTAACATTTAAAGTGACATTAAAGGCAATTAAAAAAAAAAAACAATCTTATACATACCTGCTCTGTGCAATGGTTTTGCACATTTTGCACAGAGCAGCCCCAATCCTTCTTCTTGGGTCCCCCACCAGCACTCCTTGCCCCTCCCCCTCCTGCAGAGTGCCCCCAGAGCAAGCAGCTTGCTATGGGGGCACCCAAGCAGGCTCAATCCCGAACTGCTGCTCTGCATGTCTATTCACATACAGAGCCATAGCTCGGTCCCATCTCTCTCCTCATTGGCTCACTGGCTGTGATTGACAGCAGTGGGAGCCAATGGCATAATTATTAATGTGGAATGTATGTTCCTTGCTATAGAACATTCTTTTTTATTAAATGAGTAAAGTTCCACTTTAAGGTAAGTCACTGGCTGATCTAGTGGGTATAGATACCACCGTTCAACAAGTTCCCTCTCAATTCAGAAAAGTCCCAACACATGCTTACATGGGGTCCAGGACCCTTCAGGGTGCTTCCAGCTCATGTAGAGAAAAAGCTTGAAGCAACAGGTACTATTCTTGTCTTGCCAACCTTAATCGATATTTTTGGTGTTTAAATGCACCAGGATCATTAAGTGAAAAGATCCTGCCACAAACGCTTGAACAAGCTATTGACTGAAGAAAATCCAAGAATTCTATTATTGTGCCAAAACAGCACACGTGTTTTCTTAACCACCATCTATAACTTACCGACTTTTTCTGCATGCTGCCAGGGAATGTCTGTGTTATATGTGCTGTCATCACACTCTGAATAAGTCTGCAAGAAAAACAGAAAGGCTATCAGAGCAGTGGACCAGCTAAACCATGGCATTAGTCATTCCATTGTACAATTACATAATGTGTGATCACCCTTGGGTTAATAAGGGTGAAGACACAAAATCAGGAGCTATGACACTTGTAGCATTTGTTGTTTGTAATTATAAATGAACGTCCAGGGCTCTACATGACAGATTTGGCACATTCAACCCGTGCACCGTGTCACATTAAAATATATGCCAACTGCAGTGTCTGTTCAGGCTGACAATTCTACCCACATCTGCACTACTATTCTCTCTTATAGGAGGAATGTCAAATATAGAAATGTCTTCAGGAGGAGAAGGAGAAATCAGCAAGTTCAGATCCCTTTTTATATAGTTTTCCCTGTAGAAGAAAAAGGCAGATCTCTGTACGGTTAGGGAAAATTCATACCTTCTGTCTTTGTCCACAATGATCCGCATACCACACCATTCCATACAGGCAAAGGAACGTAGTAATCGCCTGCAATGGGCACAGGAATACAGCAATATGTTTTAATAAGAGCTATGCCTATTCACATACACAAAAATACACTCTAGGGGACCTGTAAGGTCACACAGAAAAGCACTTTATATGCAATGGTTTACTGTAGGAATGGGAGCTCTTTCCTTCTGTTACAAGTCTGACAGGAGTAGTGACAGCAGCATCATTACTACAGTCAGTCCAGCGCTGGGAGTGACACGGACAGGAGGAGACAGCCGGGAGGTGATGCAGGCTGTGTGCTCCTGTATTCAGAAGCCATTTGGCATCTTTGCCCTGGATCACCCTGTCCCGGCACTGGTTACCCCCACACACCTACTGTCTAACTGTACATTTACTGAAGCTGCTCAAATCCCCAGGTATTGCCCACTAAATGGCAAAGCAAATCCCCAAGTGTGACAACATTGGGGGCTAGTGATTTGTTGTTTAAGCCTCAAACAATGCACTGTGGGAAGGCAAGTGATATGGCAACTGTTTTTCATACTCAATAGTAGCAGAATTATTAGGGGAAGCTGTGATCAGAGCATCAAAAGGTAGCTGTAAACACCAGGCAGGAAGTCCTCAGCACTACCCTTTCACTACATTTGTAGCCTTACTCAAACACTTGCTGAGAGGAAGGTTGCAGGGAAATGACAAAAAGATTTTAGCACAGTCTCAGGGTCTATTGGATTGCATTAGCAGTTTTTTGATAAACTACTTGCTGCATGGTATTTCACCTTTACTTATGAGACAAACATTGGGGTCCTGCAATAAAGGAGAGAGCAAGCAGTAGACACTGGACTTGGTTCATCCAATGATGAAGGCTTATTATGTTTTGAAAGTGTCATGTTTAAAGAATAAGTTCACCTTTAGGAACATGTTAGATGTTATACCCATAATTATGGTGTAACATACAACATGTTACTAAAGCACCTGCTGGCACATCGACCTTCCATTGTGACAGCAGACGGGGAATCTTCTCCCTGAACTCCACTGTCACAATTAAAATACAGTGTGCCCGTGCAGGGCTCTGCCCACAAAGCTGTGTCATTCATTCACAGAGTTCTGTGAATGAATGGACTACAAGTTCCATCTGCCACTGTGGCAAATGACTTAAGGTTCTCAATAAACTGTGTGGGTGCTGGTGAGTGCTCTCGTAGTTCATTGATCTTCCTGGACTTCAGAAATTGACAGACCGTGTATTGAGAGTCCGCAGGAGCCTGACATTGCACTCGCTATCTGCTGATCATGGGTGCAATGCTTTACAGGCTCCTAAAAGAAAAAAAAAGAAAAAAATTTTACCAGCAAAAAAAAATGTGCATTGATTATTATTTATTTTTTTTATAAAAAGGTGGACTTAGCTGCTAAGGTCCCTTGTAGTCATATATTGTTTTCCTGTTAGCACTGCAGTTTTAGCCTATGGAAGACCTGGGCTTGACAGGCTGATTTGTCATTCAGAAAGTCCCTGATAAGCTATAAAATGACTTTAGTGTCACAGAGGAGAAAGGGGGTTGGGCTTAATTGGTCCAGAGGAAAGGTCTTAATGTCATGTGTAGGAAATACCTTAAAAGTTAGTTCACCTTTTCACACAAAATGAAAAAGGTGAACTAACTTACAATATTTTTCCCACCCTGTCCAGTCCCCACTGCACTTAGATGCTGTGATGACCGTCTCCCATCACCAGTATATAGGTCCAAGCATTTGAAAACTTTCCTACACAGTTGCAGAGACTGTGCAGCATCATGAGGCTTGCAATGGTGAGAGGGTATTGGACAGCACGACCACGTAGTGAAAGTTTCAGGTATCACCTGCTTACACAAGCGGGTGATACCTGAAACAACAGCAAGACAACAGCAAAAGGCAGATTTTATTATGCAATGTGAACTTACCCTTTTATTACTGAAGAAAAGAAAAGCAATAAAAAGCCTACCATTTCTGAAAAAAAAAAAAAAAAAGTTGCCTTGCTGTTTCTGGATTCAATAGTTTGGACCACTGACTCAGAAATAAGCATGCATTAAGTAAAGTCAGGACTGAATCAGAGCTCTTTTTTCACTCGTTCCATGAAAATAAAGCCACTGAATCATGGTGGCCAGGAAACTAGTATTTTCCGATAACAGGCAGCAATAGTAGCCTTCATACTTCTCTAAGTATATGCAGTGCTACTTTTCCTTGCCCACTTCCTTTACAGCAGTACTATTTTCTTTAGGATTCTAGGGTCCCTTTAAGTTATTGCTGAACTTGTTTGTCACACAGTATATATTTCTACAGCCCTGACTTCCAGGCTTTCCTTGTCCTGGAAATAAGCGGAGTTCATAATCTATACAGGAAACAGGTTCTGTATAAAGTTAAAAAACATTCACTTACCACACAGAGAAGCCAAAGTACCACATACAGCAGATGAGTTTTGGAGAAAAGGTCCTGTCCAAACTTTATACATACTATTGCTTCAAGAAACGCAATGGCACTGCAGGAAAAAAAACTTGGGTCAATGATATGCATTGTCTTGGTAATTCTTCATGCTGGTCTCTAAACTCAAACCACATTTTGAACATGGTGTGATATTGGCTGGCTGCAGATCTTGTAATATAGAAGGAATATGTTCCCTTTAAAGTTAGGATTCCAATTAGCACTATCTGAGCATTCAATAGGATCTGCTGAAGTCCCCGTACTGAAGATTAGAGTAGAGTGACCATTAAGAGTTACACTTGACATGAATCAACAAGGACATATCAGCAGTACCAAAACACATCAGTATTATCAATGGAAATTTACCTTTTTGTTGCCATAAGTAAAAAAACAGCTATATCTAGCTCCCAGCCTAGATCACATGCCTGCCAATTATTACAGAGGGTCTGATTTCATTTCAGTCAGCCACATGATAGAAAAATCCAGTAGTAGTAATAAGTCCACACCAGTCTACACTGGTTTTAAAGTTCACCTTTTAAAAAAAAATAAATGCATATTTTTTTGCAGGTTAAAAAAAAACAAAAACAAAAACAAAACGTATTTTCCATTTTTTTTTCTTTGGAGCCTGTAAAGCATTACTACCACGATCAGCAGATCGAGGGTGCAATGTTAGGCTCCTGCAGACCATCAGTGTAGCTGTCTGTCCGTACCTCCGATACGGGAAGGCAGTTACTTCAGTCCCGGAAGCTCAATGAACTACAAGAGATTTCATTTCACCTACACCCTCACAGTTCATTGAGTACTACAAGCCGTCAGCCGCAAAGGCTGACGGAACCTGTAGGTAATCATTCATAGAATTCTGCTCTTTTCAAATTGTGGCAGCGGGTGTGGGGAGAAGATCACTGAAGATCCCTCACTTTCATGGGGGGAGGAAGAATCGGGGAGGGAAGAGAACTGCAGGAGTGGGAACAAGTTACATGTTGCACCCTAAAAATGGGTGGAATGGGGAACATGTTCCCAAAGGTGAACTTATCCTTTATGGCAAGGGTGCTGAACCTTTTGAAGAGCGAGGGCCACTGAAATGACTTGGTAACCAGTCACAGGCCAAGAAAAAAAATTAAATGGTTCAAATTTTCTAATTTTTTTTTTATTGAATAGCATAATGAACATTTTCCTCCTGCATCTGCTGAATTATGGTGGGAGGGAGAAGAGGAGAAGCCAGCTTTCAGCATTTGCAGGAAGAAAATGGGAAAAGAACAGTTCCTATATATTCTGCTCCCACCACCCCTCCTGTCAAGTAAAACAGAATGTGACAGGGTCACCATTGAAACACCAGTGGTTTGGGGGTGTGTGTGGTAAAAACATGTCTTAACTATGGGGTTTCACCTCCCCCCAAACTGCATTCATAAACAAGCACTTACTGCCCTGAGCCCCCTGTAATGCTACTTTCGCACTGATGCACTGTGGGTAGAGAACAATGCATCTCTGGCTTTCCTGTGGGTTAGCTGCACTTTGCCATACACTTCCACTACATCTTGCGAGTGTGGTGCACTCTCTGAAAGCACACCAAACCCACAGGATATAATAGACGTTTATGGCTCAGTGCAGCTAATTCATGGGAAAACTGCAGGTGCACTGCGCTGCACCCCGCTGCACCCACGGATCAGTGTGAAATCAGCCCAATAGCTGATAAACCTTTTATAGGCAATAATATTCTCATTGCAAAAGTTCAGTGAATGTGTTGTTTAATTCATAGACCTTCTTTTCCTCTTCTAACTTCTACTGGCATTGCTCCCCAGGCTGCTAGAAAGATCCTAGGTGAAGTACACTTGGTATCACTCTGCGGCCAACCCTGGGCATGCGCTCCCCTCGTTTGAGGTCAACATGGATCATAAGTTGAGCACCCCTGCTTTAAGGCTTGCCAGCCCACTTTTATTAAACTTAAAGAGAAGTTTGAAACAGAACAATTGCCCATGCAGGGGATTTTCACCAGCAAAACAGATAATGTAAAATGCCAAGCCACTTGGTCCATCTTCAGCAGCACTGCTGCTGTTTTCACTGCTCCCTCAGACTGTCTTACCCATCTCTCTGGGCTCTCTCAGCCTTTTAGTGGCAGCACCCTGCTACACAGGCCCACACACTGGTCCCTTAATAGAAGATATCCTGGCACCCCAGGGTTCTCTCACTCCTTTGAGCCCTTCAGATTCCCTCTGTACCCTAGACTTGCCTAGACTGGCTCTCTCAGTCTCCCAGATTCACTTAACCACCTAGATTCACACCTCCAGTATAGAGTGCTGTCTCTTGAATAGAGCACATCTGTCTCCTAACAGCAGCACTGAACTGCCTCCAGATGGCAACCCTGCGCCCAAGCCTGTCATTATAAAGGCTGTGCGAATTTGCAATTACAGCCTGCTGGTCTCCTGCAAGACCTGGACACCGGGTTGTACCCCCTCAAAGCACTTTGAAATCTCCAAACTCTGGAGCCCAATCCGAGAAAGCTGTAAAAATAGTTTTCTCCGCTCAAAACTAACAGTTCAGGGTCCAGCTCTTTGCATTCGTGTGAATCCTGTGTTTTTTTTTCTAATAAAAATAACAAACCTATGCTCAAATCCAAATAGCTTATGCATATAAATAATCTATCAAATGCTAAAGAAGTGTGACCACATGTTAACACTAATAACTCGGGACAAACTCTCTGCACACTGCTATACACCCTTTTTAGCTGCAAAAAACAGATTTTTAGCTCACAAACATTTCAATACATGTTTAGGCTGGCCAACAGCATCAAAGTAACCCATCTCTGGCCAGTCCCTACTCTGCTCTGCAAAATGCAAATGCTCCAGTGGATATAGTACCTGTATGGGGCAAATAAACACAAATTGTAGGAGAACTACAGATTCAGGTCTGATCACTAACCTGCACTATGCAATAGAAAGAAGTTATACCTTTGCTCAAATCCAAATAGTATATATATATATATATATATATATATATATATATATATATATATATATATATATATATATATATCCCGTCAAGTGCTAAAGGGGTGTGACCACATGTTAACACTAAAATTTCTGAATGGACCCTCTATACACTGTTGTACACACTTTCCAGCAAACTTTGCACAATAAACAGAGATTTTTGGTTCTTGAAGACGAATAATTAGCTTCTATCACTTGTTCTGGCAATGATGGACACCACTAGTGATTTTTATGGTGTATTTTATGAATATTGAAGTTTGTATAATAAAGCAAATTCATTTTTATTTATATATGTGAAGACTTTTCTCTGTCACCTAAAATTCCCACAGTCCTAATTTTTAATTTGTATAATTTTAATTTGGAATGTGGTGCATTTTTGCTATATACTATCTTAGAACGCACACGTACCTGGCCATCCACGATATTAAAAAAAAAAAAAATAAAGCTACCTTCTTCCATTGCTCCATAATGTTCTGATGCTCACATGCCCATTGTAGGCACTTCTGCCTGTGGACACGAGTCAGCATGGGCACCCTGACAGATCTGTGGCTATGCAGCCCCATACACAAACATACAACAAACTACAAAGCACATTGTTTCTGCTTTAGACACATCAACCTCAGGAACATTATTATTTGCTGCCTAACATATCCCACTGACTTTCAGATGTCATCGTAACAAGATAACCAATGTTATTCACTTAACCTGTTGGTAGTCATAAAGGTATGGCTGATTGGTGTAAATGTAAAAAAAAAAAAAAAAAAAAAAAAAAAAAACTGCAACATGGTGTGGGGATTTACAATGAACAGCAAAGAGGCTGTGGAAGGTCTGGAGCATGTAAATACACTAAACTAGCCAAAGATGGGAATTTTTTTTCCTTTTTCTTCAACAAAAAAAAAAAAAAAAAAAAAAAAAAAAGATTCCTCCATCCACATAAATGTCTCAGAGAGAGAGATTCTTTCACCCACCTCACTGTATTCTGACAGAAATTCTCTGCTGTCACAATACACTTATCAGTGGCTGCAGCCACAGATCGACAGAAGTCTTCAAACATTCCTGTTCAACAGAAGTGGATGTAACAATCGACTTCTGTCAAACAGACACACACACAAGATCAAAATTCAACCGGTTCCTGCTAAATTGGTTGAATTTCAATCCATCTATGGCCAGCTGAAGACAAAATAAAGCCTGCTACACACAATGAGAATATTGGACGAATGATCGTACATTTTTTTGCATGCTGATCTCATAGCGAAAATGAATAGGTTGCTAGAGTTACAAAAATTCTCGTAAGACAGAAAACAACTTTGGAAGTGATGTAATGCAGGGCTTAAAATTTCAAGTCCTGAGCTACTAGCCAGGCCTTAGGGTTACTCGCCACCAACAAACACACACACAAACAGAGACACCTGTACACACACACACACGTACATACACACACACACACACAGAGACACATGTACACACACACACACACACGTATAGACACGCATACACACAGATACATGTACAAACACATAAATACACACGCACAGACACATGTACACACACATGTACATACACACAGACACATGTACAATTGTACACAGACCCCCCCCCAATAAAAAGTTGCAGTACTTCGTTGTTCACTCACAGATCCGGTACTGCACTCTAGGGGGAGGCAGAGAGCACAGCACACACTCCTTGATTTACTTTCACTGCGCTCAGCTATTGAGCAGTCTGACGGCTCCCAGTGCCAATGACAGATCCGGCCTGAGCTCCGAGCCTGCTCAGCAAGACGGCCCCTAGGGGACACACTCGCCTCCACCATAATTTCCGCTCGCCATTGGCGAGCAGGTAAGTGGAAATTTCAAGCCCTGATGTAATGTATTGTATTGTAATGTATTATTTCATTTCTGAGCATGTGCAGTCTTGGTCACCCAATTTTTCTACGGACAAATACTATACTGGTTACATGAAAATCGTTCATTCTGTTGTCTTACGAGAAAGATTTTCATGCTTTTCCCTTTGGATGTTTTCGCATTAACTGTTGTGATCAGCTCTCGAAAGTGGACTTACAATCAGATTAATCGGACGATCACTCCAAAAGTAGTATTTTTTGTCCGATATTCTCATCGTGTGTACGAAGCTTAAGCTCTGAGGTTTCTACCAACAGAAGCTGAAAATTAAATTTTCTGCAACTAACATACAACATTGCAGTTGAAAGAACTTCAGGAAAGAACAAAGAATTGGTGAATATTCAATGTGGGGAGCAAAGCTGGAGAGTAATCAGTAACACTAATCTATATGTTCCAGTTCAAGGACAAAATATAAAAAGCAGACGGGTCAGAGTGTCAGGCAGGTAACTTGTATTGCCATCACTGACAGCCTCCTTGTTTCTCTTTTGAAATTCCAATATTGACCCTAACATTTATCCTTATCTTCATTCATACCTAAAACTTATTATAATCCCTGAAACATTTAAAATCATTCTAAAAAGGTCCACATTTTTTTTTTTTTTTTTTAACAAACATGTCAGACTTACCTGTTCTATGGCTTTGCAAACAGCAGCCCTAATCTTCCTCTTCTTGGGTCCCCCGCTGACTCTCCTGCCCCTCCCTGCTGAGTGTCCCCAAAGCAAGCTGCTTGCTCTGGGAGCACTCGTGTGTGTGCTCACTCCTGATCCACCTCTGTGTCCTTAAGACACAGAGCGCGGCTTGGCCCCACCCTCCACTCCCTTCTCACTGGCTGTGATTGACAGGAGCAGGAGTCAAAGGCTCCCGCTGCTGTGTTTCAGCTAATGAGGAGAGAGAGACCTGGGAGAGCTGCTGCTCTCGTGCACATCGCTGGATTGGAATCGGGCTCAGGTAAGCATTATGAGGAGGGGGCTGCACACTGAAGGCTTTTTTTACTTTCATGCATAGAATGCATGAAGGTAAAAATCCTTCAGCCTTTAGAACCACTTTAACCTTCCCCTAATACTTATCATACCATTATTACAATGGACTTCTGGCTGGTGTGATGACATCGCAGCTACTTCCTCCCCCAAATTTTCCCTGGACAGTGGTGGACGGTCCTTAGTAATGCACTCAATGGTGCTCATGCCTTTTTATGTGCAGTAGTACGCAAGTAGTAGTAGTAGTAGTAAGCAGATGCTGGCATGAGGATGCATCACCAGGGCGCAGGGCCACAATTGCCTGAGCTCTAAGGAAGTTAAATGACACTACCTGTCATTCAGCCTTGAAGGAGTGTGCCACCTAGCGGTGGAGTGGACATCTCCAGACTGAAGAAGAGTATTACAGCAAAAACTGCTTTTTTTAATTTTTTCTGCCGGGATAACTTAATTTTTTCCTAATCAATCTAATTTTTTTCTTGGAAGGGAATGGGAGGAAAAATTCCATTGCGCAAGTTCATTATAAAAGCAGTTCCTACAACATAACAAAGGGAGTCACTGCAAATGGAAACCAAAAGTTAAGATCTTGATATTTACTCACCCAAACACCCAGCATTGAGTGCCAACTCTTTTGCACTGTGTGTCTGTAAGATATGCATAATACTGCCTATAAAATGAAAAAAGGAGAAAAGATTATAAGCATAATAATCTTCATATGAATCAAGAACCAAAACAGCATTACCAAATCATGTAATTATTGGTAAAAGGAAAAAAGCTCAAGTAAAAGGAAACCTATACTTAGCAAAATATGAAACTTCCATCGCTGACACTAGTTGCCTAGTTCTGGCTGCAATACTTTCTGAGTCAATGCACTGGAACAAGTATCCAGTTAAGAAAGTCATGACTCCCGATTTGTATACTTGTTCCAGGTCTGTTCATCAAAGGGTATGGTTGACATAAGATCAGCATTAAAATGGGAAGAATGGTAATAATAGTATCCACATTCTGTCAGCACAGTTGGCAGCCTGGCAAGCATTCTATATTAAAGAAAAATAATTCCTAATACGATGAGAATTCAAGTCAAACCTGGACTTTTAATTTTACAGGAATAAAAAGGGATGCTAGCGTGGCCGTACTACACACAGTAGTGTGTCCTATTACTGATAGGCAGCACACATGTTGCATTCCAGTCCAGAGACCGTTAACCAAGATGGCAGACAACAGTGTTAGTGTGTGCATGGAACAGCGTGTGGTGATGAAGTTTTTTGTGAATGAAGGCGTAAAACCCACATTTTTGAAAAGTTAGCGTATGCTAGGTACCAAGGTACCTTTCTACTTTTGACCCTCACAGAAGAGTTGAAGGAGCGTTTTGACAGGGAAGGCCATGGTTTTCTGGATCACATCATTACATGTAACGAAACCTGGGCACATCATTTCACTCCGGAATAAAAATGAGCAACAAAGCAGTGGAAGCATGTGGACTCACCAACACCAAAAAAAATTTCAAACAATTGCGTCTGCGGGTTAAGTAATGGCAAGTGTTTTCTGGGACAAATGTGGCATTTCATGTGGATTTTCTACCCCAGGATGCCACTATCAACAGTGAATATTACTGTTGTGTGCTGAGAGATGTACATATGTGTCTGCAGAAAAAAACAGCCTGGTTTAATCACGGAGGGCGTCCTGTTTCCCGAAAACAATGCACAAGCTCATACTGCTCACGGCACATTACAGCAACTCACCTGGGAGGTATTGCCACATCTCCTTTACAACTCAGACCTCGCTCTGACTGATTTCCACCTGTCTGGACCCCTAAAAGATTTCCTCGGGGGTCAGCAGTTCAGCACTGATGATGAACTGAATCAGGCTGTTCTCAGATTTCAGGCGTACTGACAAATCTTTCTATATCGAAGCTTTCCAGGCATTAAACGCTGGGATAAGTGTATAAATGTAACAAGCAAGTATGTTGAAAAATAAATGCAGTTTCCACTCCGTAAAATTTGTTTTTTTATGATATAAACTCAAAAGTCCAGGTTTGACTTGAACGCCTCTCACAGCAACTGTGTAAACTTTAATATAATATTATGAACACCAAATGGCACAATGCCGGGATGTCCTACAAGAAACACTAAAACCTAAATAGGTTACATAAATCTTGAATATATTTAGTGTTCACAGTAAAATTAATTCACAGTGCATAGGATATTTGTGCAAAAATGCTTTCTCCGCAAAAACAATATCTGATCCACTTGTATATAATATTCATACAAAAGGTGTGCCCATATATTATCCCTGTTCCTTACACCCTGTTCCAAATTATTATGCAAATTCTATTTAAGTGTCACAAATATTAAAAATATTTTGTTTTTCAGTTTAACTCATGGATGGCATTGTGTCTCAGGGCTCTTTTGATCACTGAAAACAATCTCTGACACCTGTGATAATTAGATTGGCAGGTGAGCCCAATGTAAGGAAAAACTACTAAAGGAGGGTGTTCCACAGTAATAAGCAGAGCACCATTTTCAAGCAATATGGGGAAGAAAAAGGATCTCTCTGCTCCGAAAAGAGTGAAATAGTTCAATGCCTTGGACGAGGTATGAAAACATTAGATATTTCACGAAAACTTAAGTGTGATCATCGCACTATTAAGAGATTTGTGGTTGATTCAGAGCACAGACGGGTTCGTACAGATAAAGGCACATTGAGGAAGATTTCTGCCAGATCCATGCATCGGATCAAGAGAGCAGCTGCTAAAATACCATTACATAGCAGCAAACAGATATTTAAAGCTGCTGGTGCCTCTGGAGTCCCACGTACATCACGGTGTAGAGTCCTCCAGAGTCTTGCAACTGTGCATACTGTAAACCTTCTATTCGGCCACCACTAACCAATGCTCACAATCAGAAATGGCTGCATTGGGCAAAAAAATACAAGACTAATTTTCAAACAGTCCTGTTCACTGATGAGTGCCGTGCAACCCTGGATGGTCCAGATGGATGGAGTAGTGGATGGTTGGTGGATGGCCACCCTGTTCCAACAAGGCTGCGAAGTCAGCCAGGCAGTGGTGGAGTCATGTTTTGGGCCGGAATCATGGGAACAGAGCTGGTCGGCCCCTTTAGGGTCCCCGAAGGTGTAAAAATGACCTCTGCAAAGTATGTGGAGTTTATGATTGACCACTTTCTTCCCTGGTACAGAAGGAAGAACTATGCTTTCCGTAATAAAATCATCTTCATGCATGACAATGCACCATCTCATGCTGCAAAGAATACCTCCATCCTACCCTGACCTCAATCCTATTGAGAACCTTTGGAGCGTCCTCAAGCAAAAGATCTATGAGGGTGGGGGGGCAGTTTACATCCAAACAGCAGCTCTGGGAGGCTATTCTGACATCTTGTAAATAAATTCATGCAGAAACTGTCCAAAAACTCACAAGTTCAATGGATGCAAGACTTGTGAAGCTGCTATCAAATAAGGGGTCCTATGTTAAAATGTAACGTGACCTGAGTAAAATGTTGTTAAAAGTTTGATTGAAATAGCTTTTGATTTCAGTAAATATGCTGCAAAAACAACAAATTACAATTTTCAGTTCTTTACAACCTCTAAAGTGTTTTGAAACTTACTGTGCGTAATAATTTGGAACAGTGAATTGTAAGTTTTTTATGTTTAAAAAAAATACTGTTATCATTAAGAGGTTTGTTCAATAAAATTTGAATTGTACTCTTAATAGTTGATAACATGAGAATTATGCTGACTGTTATTTACATCATTTAGGTAAATGAGAAAAATATCATTTGCATAATAATGTGGAACAGGGTGTAGATACATAAGGAAGGTAGAGGAACAATGCAAAGTGCAGGAATGGAATTGTAGTTCTAGCCAACAACAACTCCATTCCTACACTTTACAATCTGCAAGAGAACCTGTGAGGGAAAAGTCCCCATCTCAGGGGTTAGCACTAACTGTGGAGTCACATGAGGCTTTGAAGCTAGGAGGCCAGGGAGAGCTGAACTGGAAGGTAAGAGTGCTAGGCAGTGCCTTCTAATTCTTGAGGCCATATAAAAGATTTTATTTGCAGCTCACTTTCAATTTCAGCGGGAGGCTTTCTGAAATAAATCTAAGAGCAAGGTAACTGGGGAAGGAATGCATGGTAAGATCTGACACTTCCTGAAGTGTCAGATCCCTGTTAACATGTTAGGATAAATTAGTCCATCAGAGAGCAAGTGGTGACTGCCACAAGTATCTGTTTTTAAAGGTGTTTACAAATCAAGAAGTATGAATTAGTGAAAGGGTCTTTTTAAGCATAATCATGTTTTAAATTGCAGTGCCATATTACCTGACAGTAGGTGCTGTAATGATGCCAATGAAGAGAATTCTGCACCAGCTCAGTGCATGACTTGCTTGGAATACGAAGATATGTTTCAAGAAGAAGGTATTAAGTTCAGTCAGCTAGGAAAGAAAAGAAATATTCATTTTTAATTATAGCACTAAACAAAATGTATACTGTAAGTAATCAAAGGACAAAAAGGTCAAAACATCACAGAAACAGTGCTATCGTTGTGTCCAGTTTCTAAAGTTTTAAGCTTTTTACAGTTATTAAAGTGGTAGTAAACCACCAAAAAAGAAAGATCGTGCTATAAATAATATAAATACTTGTGAGCTATTATAAATGAGGTCTTCAGTGAATAATAGATAATTAATAACTTTCTACTAGTGGTCATGCGCTAGGTGCGCTGGCACTCACACAGACTCACTTACTAGTGTTAATACAGTAACAAAAATATTAATAGTGCCGCGCTCCTATTACTATATATAATATAATATATATAAATATAAATACAATCTACTCTCTTCCAATAATTATATAAAATTGAAACCTCAACAAAATCCATAGATCACTATACTTAGTGGGTGAAAGATACTCACATTTATTAAGGTTCTTTTATAACATTTTTTTGATTCACTAGTCACAGTGATTATATATTATCTTTCACCCACTAAGTATAGTGATCTATGGATTTTGTTGAGGTTTCAATTTATATAATTATTGTAAGAGAGTAGATTGTATTTATATTTATATATTATATATTATATTATATATAGTAATAGGAGCGCGGCACTATTAATATTTTTGTTACTAAAAAAGAAAGATCAATGGGTCTCCTGCAGGCTTTGGACATAATGTGTTGGTATGCACTGCATTATTGCACATTATGACAGGCACGCCTGCAAATGGAGCCCTCCAGTGCAGCACTGTCACAGCTCCCCCGGCGCTTCCATCTTCACCCAGTCTTCCTTCCGGGTTCGCGGGCTCCAGCTGTTGAATGGCCGTGACGACATCATTTCCGTACATGTGGGTGGGAGCCGCTGCACAGCACTCTGCGTTGCACAAGTATACTGTATGCCCTGAATGTACAGTGTCACTGCGCATGCATGGGTGACATCATTAGCTATTGCCAATGTGAATATCTCCTAAACGGTGCAAGTTTAGAAGATATGTATTGTACATACAGGTCAGCTTGATTGTAAGCTTACCTGTAGGCACATGTTTAAATACAGACTTTACTACAACTTTAAAGTGGATGCCTGCCCTAATTGGATGACATTTATTATGAACGGTGTATCATAAATAACTGCAATGATTTTTTGTTGTCATAAAATACAGTTTTTACCTATTTTTCATCCTCTTTATTCTACTCCGTGCTGCTGATCTCCTCCAGCCTCTTTCAGCCATTTCTTGTCTTCATGCACTTGCTCCAGTATTGCACTTAATTGCTCTGGATAGTGGATAATTGCCTGTGTAATGTGCATTGACGTAGCTGCATATAGTCTACGCCAGGGGCTGATGTGACAGGATAACAATGTAGAAGCACTATTGTTACCCTATTATAGGAAGTTCCTGAACAATGACCTTCATGGTAGGATCATGTGCTTCAATAAAAGCAGTAGTATAAAAAAACACTGACAACTTAAAGTTTAATTATGTCAAAGCTTATATCAAATTTAGTGACTGGGTTTGCAAACAGGTCTTGTTTGTAAAAGAACTAGCAGAAGTACCACACAAGGCTTGCTTAGAGCCTTATGACCGGATATAGGTGCAAAGGCTAAACAGGGTCTGCCTACTCCCTGGGGATCCAAATGCATAAGTACAATATGATGCACACTGAAAAGTAGAAAAAAAATAAAAGGTTTGGGAGAAGTACAACTTATTGTACTTATATTTAACTTTATATGTGCTACTGCTTGTAAATATCATGTTACGTTTCTTTGCGTCTGCTCAATGGAGGATACAGGGCCTTAGGACTGATCACCAGGAGTCCCATATTATTGGAAGTTTTCTAATAAGGTAGGCACAGGTAGAGAGTGATATGCAAGAGAAAAGCGCTTGATAGAAAAAAGGGGGCATAAAAATCGAACTATAGGTGTCTTTACCTGACCATCACATCTACAGTCAGGTCCATAAATATTGGGACATCGACAATTCTAAAATTTTTGGCTCTATACACCACCATAACGGATTTGTGCTTTAACTGCAGACTGTCAGCTTTAATTTGAGGGTATTTACATCCAAATCAGGTGAACGGTGTAGAAATTACAACAGTTTGCATATGTGCCTCCCACTTGTTAAGGGACCAAAAGTAATGGGACAGAATAATAATCATAAATCAAACTTCACTTTTTAATACTTGGTTGCAAATCCTTTGCAGCCAATTACAGCCTGAAGTCTGGAACGCATAGACATCACCAGACGCTGGGTTTCATCCCTGGTGATGCTCTGCCAGGCCTCTACTGCAACGGTCTTCAGTTCCTGCTTGTTCTTGTGGCATTTTCCCTTCAGTTTTGTCTTCAGCAAGTGAAATGCATGCTCAATCGGATTCAGGTCAGGTGATTGACTTGGCCATTGCATAACATTCCACTTCTTTCCCTTAAAAAACTCTTTGGTTGCTTTTGCAGTATGCTTTGGGTCATTGTCCATCTGCACTGTGAAGCGGCGTCCAATGAGTTCTGAAGCATTTGGCTGAATATGAGCAGATAATATTGCCCGAAACACTTCAGAATTCATCCTGCTGCTTTTGTCAGCAGTCACATCATCAATAAATACAAGAGAACCAGTTCCATTGGCATCCATACATGCCCACGCCATGACACTACCACCACCATGCTTCACTGATGAGGTGGTATGCTTAGGATCATGAGCAATTCCTTTCCTTCTCCATACTCTTCTCTTCCCATCACTCTGGTACAAGTTGATCTTGGTCTCATCTGTCCATAGGATGTTGTTTTCTCAGAACTGTGAAGGCTTTTTTAGATGTTGTTTGGCAAACTCTAATCTGGCCTTCCTGTTTTTGAGGCTCACCAATGGTTTAAATCTTGTGGTGAACCCTCTGTATTCACTCTGGTGAAGTCTTCTCTTGATTGTTGACTTTGACACACATACACCTACCTCCTGGAGAGTGTTCTTGATCTGGCCAACTGTTGTGAAGGGTGATTTCTTCACCAGGGAAAGAATTCTTCGGTCATCCACCACAGTTGTTTTCCGTGGTCTTCCGGGTCTTTTGGTGTTGCTGAGCTCACCGGTGCGTTCCTTCTTTTTAAGAATGTTCCAAACAGTTGTTTTGGCCACGCCTAATGTTTTTGCTATCTCTCTGATGGGTTTGTTTTGTTTTTTTCAGCCTAATGATGGCTTGCTTCAGTGATAGTGACAGCTCTTTGGATCTCATCTTGAGAGTTGACAGCAACAGATTCCAAATGCAAATCGCACACTTGAAACGAACTCTGGACCATTTATCTGCTCATTGTAATTGGGATAATGAGGGAATAACACACACCTGGCCATGGAACAGCTAAGAAGCCAATTGTCCCATTACTTTTGGTCCCTTAACAAGTGGGAGGCACATATGCAAACTGTTGTAATTCCTACACCGTTCACCTGATTTGGATGTAAATACCCTCAAATTAAAGCTGACAGTCTGCAGTTAAAGCACATCTTGTTCGTTTCATTTCAAAACCATTGTGGTGGTGTATAGAGCCAAAAATGTTAGAATTGTGTCGATGTCCCAATATTTATGGACCTGACTGTATATGAGCTTGTTGGACATCCCATTCCCAAACCATGGCCATTAATATGGAGTTGGTCCCACCGTCCTCCCCTCTTAGGGGCTATACAGCCTTCACTCTTCTGGAAAGAAGTATCAAAAGATTTTCCAGCAAGTCTGTGGAAATTTGTGGCTATTCATTCAAAAGTTCATCTGTGAGGTCAGGTACTGATGCTTGAAGCAAAGACCTGAATCAGCATTAGAATTCATGCCAAAACGGTGCTCAAAACTCAGGGCTTTGTACAGGCCATTTGAGTTCCTCCACAGTAAACTCATCATACTATTCTTTATGGAGTTCGCTTTGTGCATCTGACTTCACATTATTGGAGCAGAGTCCACACTTATGGCTATATAAAGTATACTGCACCAAAATAGTATAACCATCTAATTTCTTAGGGTTCAGAAAAGCCTGTAGACAATCAAGAAATAGCAGTTTAACATCATACTGATATTCTGCAGAAAATAGGATAACAAGTGGAGGGTAGCACTTCCACTACGTGTAAAATGTTTTAACAAGGTCAATGCAATGCAAAACATCTCATCTATGATTGTAGAAAAGGAATATTTGGATATGTTTAGGTTTGCAGCAACGTAAATCATGGTGTACAACTTACCTGCCAAATAATCATAAAGAGATATACTCCAGCAACTCTCTGAAATGAAGATTTAGGGTCAAACCATCGCACGTAGATCCAGCTTGCTGGAGTGAACTGAAGCACGGCTCTCTTGATTTTTCCTGTAGTCGTGTGAATGTCTCTGTACAATGGTTAAAAACAAACTTTAGAGAAAGAAGTAAACAAAATTAAAACGTTTTGTTACAGAAGACAAACAAAAAAAGTCTATCAACCCCTACAGGACCAGAGAAGAAATGTGTACTGGTCAAAACCTGGGAAGTTGGTTAAAGTGGAACTTTACCTCTAAAAAGGGAAGTTCTGCTTTAACACCTCCTCCCCACATCCCACTTTTAGAGTTTTTTTTTTTTTTTTGGGGGGGGGGGGGGGGGGGCAATTTTATCCTAGGTGGCCCAAGCATAAGTTACCCCCATCCACAACCTTCTGGGACACGTCATAAGTCCCAGGAAGCTGTGGGACCATTAACAAATCACAGCACATGCACAGTGGGAAGCCAGCTGTGAAGCCACACAAAGTCACAGCCAGCTTCCCTTAGTAAAGATGCCGAGGACCCAAAGACTGGCAAACAGCCAGCCTGGGTGAGGGTGGTGCTGGATCCCTGTGAAATCACCCTTAGACCTTTGTCCCTGGAACAAGAAAGATTTTCCCTCTACTCCTGTTTTGGTGACCTGTAACAGTGGTCAGCAGGACAAATAGAAAAGTAAATCTCCCTAATGGGAGGTGCAGACACCTTGCTACTCTATCAAAAAAAAAAAAAAAAAAAAAAAAAAAAAAAACACTTTAGATATAAAACCTTCTGGCTAGCCCACTGCTACTGATTAGCATTACTCAAGACTCTGCTGATCAGCTGCAAAATTAAATCCTCTATGCTTGGAGGTCCCCAGACCTTTTGGGAAAATCTTCTGCTTTTAAGCAGATGTGTTATGTCAAAAAAAGACCATCATTGCAAAATCTCCTACTACACTATACATTTCTGAACGGTAAACAGCTGATCAGCTGGGACTCTGAAAGGGTGAGCATAAGATACTGATAAAATGCATAACCATTAAAGCATTAGGGGACCTACTTGAAACTTGCCCAGTGGTAAGTCCTCATCTCCAAGAAGCGGCAGACCACCATGCCAAGGAGGATGCCACCTCCATTGCATAAAAGGATGTCCAGAATGACTTGGTCCCACCAGCACTCAGCAAAGTTAGGAAGAAGGTGCATAAAAAAGAGCTAAGGGGGAAGATGAAATAGCATGACGAATTGATAAAGAGAGCAACAAAAAAATAACTTTAGAGACACACAAAAAAAGGCAAAAATATATATCTGTGTTAGACCATTAACAGTCTCCTGCTGCTTTGTACACTGTGGAAACTTTACAGGGAGGATGATGTTCCTCTCCGTAGGGTCTCTTCAGGTCACAGAGCTGAGAGGAGGTGGTATTTCCAGTCCTGCCTCGCATGGTCCAGGTCAAACAACCATATTTATACGAAGACGACAAATTCAAATAATTGGACCTTGTATCTGAACTATGTGTTCCTGATAAATACATGCATGCATAAAAGTGTATCACTTGCAGGTATTTATTATCTGTCAAAAAGATTACAGTGTTACTTATAAAAAGCCGCCTTCTTTTCTCACCAAATGGACCAAACTACCCTGGCTCAGATACTATTCAGGTCAACATCTATTTCTGGGATTAGATGCTGGCTCAGAGTCAACCTAATCATGTAAAAATCACAATGTCTATGCAGTAGCCACTATGTACTTGGCTGTGTGTACATCTCACACAGCTCTGTCTTCTGCTGCTGTCTGCAGGTTTGGGGTTCTGTGCATGCAGGTGTTTAATTTATAGATCTTGTCCAGTGGTTCAGCTTGGATATGCAAGTGTCTTTTTTTCAGCATGAGTATGAAAAATGTTATCTGTGACCAGCCAGAATCAAAATTCATCATCCACATAGCCGAGTTCATCTACCCACTCTCGGCCTGTGACCAGCCCGAGTAAAAATCCATCACTCTCACACTGATTGGACCCTCTGCTACCACTCACCCAGTGAGCAGCCACAGTAAAAGTCCATCACTCTCACACTGATCGGTCCCTCTGCTACCCTCACCTATGACCAGCCACAGTAAAAGTCCATCACTCTCACACTGATCAGTCCCTCTGCTACCCCTCACCCTGCGATCAGCCGAAGTAAATATTCCTTACCCTCACAACCTGCCTGATACCCTGTGACCTGCTTGTGTAAAAGTTCATCAAATTTGCAGAGCTTCATCCCCCCGTTTACCTTTCATTTTGTGACCGGCCAGTGTAAAAAAATCAATACAGTATCAAACAAATAAAATAAACATACCTCACAAACACACTGCCTCTTACCAGGTGATTAGTTAAAGCACTTCACTGAACAGAGTGATCACAGGAAGGTGCAGCAAAAATGAAAAATGTAGGTTCACCTTTGCAGCAAAAATGAAAAGATGAACAAACATTGTACACCAGTGGCTGTCAACTATAGGGGGCCTCAACTGTGGTCCCTGACATCACCAAAGGGCCGCACATAATGTTTAATATATGCAATCCTTGAGGACTGTCAGAAACTGCAAACCTAATAGAGCAAATGATAGTCAGAGACTGTGGATATGCTACAGATAATACGAAACTGGGAACATGTTACATGAGGCTAGTAAAGATCAATGCTCTTACCCTAATCAAAATTCCCAGTACAGACTGATGAGGTCCAAGGGCCGCCCATCATTTACCAAACAGCCGCAGGTTGGGCATCACAGCCGTGCACTGTCCCCATCCTCCTGGTCCTCACCTCCATGAGTGAGGAGCTGTCAATGCCCACACAGCCAGTGTAAAGGTCTAGGGATTTGAAATACCCACTGATCTCCCACTTCTTTGTGCATTGCTTCTGGGATGGATCAGAGTAATTCTGATTGCTATTAGCACAAGAACTGAGCTCTCACAGGCAGCACTTGGTCAGAATTAAATATCAGTAGCTGGCGGGAGCAGCTTCCAATCATGCAACCACTTGATGGAGGTCACATGGTCAGCGATCTTCCAGTCCCCCCAGGTCTACTTCATTCAGTAAAAAGGTTTGCTTATAGCAGGGAAATTCACTGCTATAAGTGATCATAGTGTAAAAAAAAAAAAAAATCCTCCTCACCTCCCCAGAGTAGTACGGTATTACTGTGGTAACACTGTATTGCTCTGGTCACAGTGTGTAAATAAAAAAAAAAAAAATTTAAAAATAAAATATTATTCTTTAATATACTGTCACCCAAAGAAAAAAAAAATAAAAATACATTATCTATACATATATCCACACACATGCTATTTTTATAATTTTTTTCATTTTACAATTTTCATATATATATCCGCTAGGTTTATGGACTCTGTAACTTTCCTACAGACTGAATAATAAATACGAATTTAGGTTATTTTCAAAGAAATTAGGCAGAATACATTTTGGCCTACATTTTTTACGAAAAATTATTTGCAAAATTTTAGAACAGAAACCAAGAAAAAAAAATATTTTTTTTTTTAATTTTTGGCAATTTTATTTAACAAAAAATAAAAAGCCCAGTGGTAACTAAATACCACCAAAAGAAAGCTCTATTTGTGTGATAAAAATGTAATACGGGTACAGTGTTGCAGGACCGCGCAATCCTGAAAATTGGCCTGGCCAGGAAGGGGGTAAAAGTGCTCAGTATTGAAGTGGTTAAAGCGATGCTGAGGCTGGGGGGGAAGAGGTTAAGGAAATGTTTCCTCTAGCTTGCAGCAGACTTGATGACATAATTTTACAAGACTTTGCAATACAAAATAAAATTGTCAATTGACTGAAATTAGGTTGTGTTTTTTTTCCTATTAAAAATTCTACAGTTGTATATTATAACATATTAGTAATGTACCCATGCAGACATATACCTCTGTCAGCTCCCAAGTGATGCTAATTGTCCAGCACAGGCCATAGCTGCGGATAAGTAAAGCCTTCATGGCCCAGCCCCAGAAATGACCAAACGCAAATATGTCAAAATGACTGAGTATCCGTTCCCAGGTGATTACATGGCAATTCACTGCATATTCCTGCAAGCAAGAGCATAAAAACAATGAAACTGAATATTTTTTTTAATTAAAAAAAATGTAAGATAACAACTGATTAGTGAAAAGAGTCAAATCAATCCTAAACCTGAAGATGAGGGAATGCAGGAGAAGGATAGAAATGTCTGCACACTGGCCGGTTTTCATAGGAAATGTCATTCAAGTACCACCTGTATGACTGGACCCTGATGGAAACTGCTATTCCTTGACTCATATACTCCATAATAGTTCTTCAGCATTAAGAAAACAATTTACCAAGTCACTGCCCTGAAACGGTTATGAGGCACTCGAGTCAAGGAATGACTGCTTCCATAACGGTACATTCTGCATATACTTTACCAGAGTACACAGAGGAAGCCGAACACAATTTAGTAGATATTTAGCATTAACACTACAATATCGTCTGTTACTGCAGTACATGGGCTTAGTGGTTAGCACTCCTTCCTTGCAGCTGTAGGGTCCTTGGTCTGAACACTGCTCAGGACACACATGTTCTCCCTGTGCTTGTATGAGTTTCCTCCAGGTACTTTGGTTTCCTTCCATACATCAAAGACATGCTGATAGGCTGGCTGGCTCCTGTCTAAATTGGACCTAGTAAGTTTACGTATGCATGCATCTGATCTAGAGACCTTAAAGCCAAACTCCAGGAATTCAGCCACTTTCTAAAACGTGCTGGCTTACTGGCTAAAAAATGTTCTGTAGCTGCAGGAGTTGAGAACAGGTGGTTTCATTTTGGAGCACTGGAAGTACAGCGATAGCTGTACTCCCAGAGCTCAGTAATCATATAAATTGTAAATTAAAGAAATAAATCCATGAGGAGGGGCAAGCACCTCATTGGAATTAACCCATAGTAATCTGACACATTTTATAAGTGACTGGAGTTCAGATTTAATCACTTCCTGCCTGTAGGGCGTCATATGGCATCCTTTACTTTTACTGGTTATACTAGGATAAGGCCTCATACTGGTAACAAAATTTTACCTGTAAAATAGAGTGGCTATGGAGCTACTCGATCATTTCTACAGGTGGCGGAAGGGGGAAACAAATGTAGTAGTAGTATCGCGCCCCCACCCACCTATATGGTTATCCATACCCAAGTTCCATCTCAATCCAGCGCTATGCCTGTCTGCAGCAGTGCTGGTCTTTGTTACTCTCCTCACAGGATACAAAGGCAGCAGTGGGAGCTATTAGCTCCTGTCACTGTCAATCAAATCCTGTGAGAAGACAGCAGGATGTCTGTGTCTATGGATGCACACAGCCTGGCTTGGGAGTGAGCCGCAAGCAAACCATCTCCTTTACTAACAGAGGCAGCTGCTGTGAGTGTTGTATAAATTATTTGTAGCATCAGCTGCATACAGTGTAGGACGCTGTGTTTCGACAGTGACATGGGGACTTCCTGTTTAGTTGCTGAAACCAAATTGAGTTGGGCTAAATGCTGCTAAACCATCCATAGGAAGGTTTGTATTATCTGCAGGAATATAAGGCTTCTTTGACTCAATTTTGTATCTGGAGTGGGATGGGATTCCCGTCCCACTGCTGGAACACAGCGCTGTACATCCACTTTAAGACCAGGCCTTTTCTGACACTTTTGTGTAAACTTTTTTTTTTTTTTAAATGCAATTTAATGACATTTACATTTTGTTTTGTTACAATATAAAGAATAATGTTATGCTGAGTAAATAGATACCAAACATGTCACACTCTAAAATTGCACACGTTCAAGGAAAGGAGACAAACTTTGATACTTAAAAATCTCCATAGGCTTCAACTTCGTCACTTTATTAATACACTAATACGCAAGCATCCGGGACCTTATCGTCTGTCCCCCTTTGAAAGCCAGTGCAGGCATAGACCTCATGCTCCGGGTTTGATTTCCTTGATTTACTCTTCCATTATTTCTTATAGAACCCCTCCGGTTCGTTCCTATCATCAGCGTTGGCAGTCTGAATTAGGGGGGACTTTGGATCAACAGGATTGGCGGACCATGACCCAAGCATTATCTAAATGTTCTAGGAATGTCATTATTCTTGAGAATGCCTACAAAATTCTTTATCGATGGTACTATACGCCTGCTCGTCTAGCTAGTTTTATCCCTACATATTCCCCGGTTTGTTTTTGGGGATGCCAACAATTAGGTACCATGGCCCACATCTGGTGGACTTGCCCTAAAGTAAGCAGATTATGGATTAGGGTGTATGCCCTCCTCCGCACTATGCTTCACACAGACATTAAGCGTAACCCGTATGAAGCGCTTCTGTTTAAACCTCTGGAGGGCCTCCTCCGTTCTGAACGGCAGCTGGCATCACACTTGTTTATGGCTACTAAATTGACAATTGCAAGAGCTTGGAAAACTCCTCTCCTCAGCTTTGAGGCTGTCAAAAACCGGATGAACTTCATAATGGTTAATGAAAAACTGACGGCCATATTGTTACAGATATGGCGTCCCTGGCTGGATATAGCCCAACCATCAAGATTCGACCAGTCCCTTCTGTCGATATGAGGATGGATTCTGCTGTGATTGCCTCGGAGTCCCCTTTTCTTTTCTTTTTTCCTGTTTGTCCGTGTCTTTTCACTGACTGTCTTTTTCTAATCTCTTGTCTAATCTGTTCTTATGCATATTGTACTGATTGTGCTCACTATTCTATGTGCTACATCTGCAATACTACCTATTCAACCTGGATTTCTTTATGAGCCCAAGGTCTGGAATATATATTATTATTTGGAGCGGCTTCTTCTCATGCCTCTCCTGTTTTCTATATGTTGATGTAGCAAAACTCCCTCTTAGAGTCTACATTATCATTGACCCCCAAAGGTTTGTTAATCGTTTCCTTCCTACCCCTCTCCCCGTCTTCTCCTCCAGGGCACTTATGTAATAAGTTAAAGCTTATGCCTCTACCAATACATGCCTTGAATTAGCTCCCAATTACACAGTACAATTCATATTTGTTGGTCAATGAATCTGTGTTCCGAATGTTTGTTCATCTCTGCTTAATCTACAATAAAACTCTTTGTAAAAGAAAAATCTCCATAGGCAGCGCTTTAAAATTTTTTACAGGTTACCAGTTTAGAGTTACAAAGCAGGTTTAGAGCTAGTATTTTTGTTCTCGCTATAACGTTTGGGGTGATACCTCACATGTGTGGTGTGAACACGGTTTACGCCCTGGTTCACATATATGGTGCGACTTGGCATGCGATTTGCAAGTCACATGGCATGCCAATCACATGCCAATTTGCATCCACTGTGACCGGGGACTTAGCCCTGGTTCTCATATATGTGGCCGTGCGGGCCGAGTTTTGCACGGGCATGAGAGCCCATTCATTTGAATGTACTCCCATGCCCCAAGTCCCTGCACTTCTTCTGAAAACGCAGCCCACACGGGAACCTCGGTTCCCAGTACATTTGCATTTTCCAGTGTGGGTGGCGCGCCATTAGAACTAATGGCACCCGCCCGCGGGTCCGCCTTCCTCTGTGCGTGTGGTGCGGTTGCATGGATTTTCGTGCGGATCCACAGCGGCACCATCCGCACAGATGTGAACCTAGCCTTAATATACGTGCACAACCTACGTATGCAATCACCTCTGCGCGCAAGTGGGGGGGAAAACGATACTTTCTGCTGCTTATAAAAGCAATCCAGCAGCTATTCAGCCACTCAGACCACTTTTAGCAGAAAGAGAAATTCCGGCAGAAAAAAAACAATACCGGTGTTATTGGCTGACAGCTACAGCCATGGTCACGGCACACCGCAGCGTATATATATATATATATATGTGTGTTTTGCAGTCTTTAAGTGGATGTAGCTGAGGCTGCTGTGATATTCTGGGGGATTACGCTCACACTGATGCCATGTAAAAATCAAGGTCTGTCTTTATTTTTCCATATAATAACAAAGACAGCTTTCTGGCAGCAAAAAGAAATAAAACTGTCCCAACGGTGGGAACATAGTCCTTCAGCCTCTACAGGGGATCAAACATTAATCTGCAGCAGACGAAAAAAAAAAAAAAAAAGTCCTTAACCCAAAATAATCTTCAGGGCTTACCGCCATCCACAGAATAGGTCACTCCAGGCTGTGTCCTCGCCTTTCTCCGAGGGTCAAACACAGCGCATAGCAACTCCAGCAAAATGGCTCAGCAGTTTAGCTCAAATACTGTTTTTCAGCCATGTGTCACACAGCCCCCCTGCTAGGTGAGGGTTACGCCCTTAACGCACCTCTCCTCTCATCACATGCCTGACGAAGGGGTCCTCCTGCGTGGCTCCGAAACGTTGCACTTTCCTTTGTGATGTGATCTTTTTGGAATAAACACCTTTTTTGGACCATATTGGAGATCCGTGGTGTGCTGGCGAATATGTATGTTTGCTTATGATGGTTCCAGTCCCAGCTGGTAGTGCTACAGCACCCTCCATTAATGAGCCATACTTCCAGGAATGTGTGCAAAGGGAATATAGTTATAGTCTCCTCTCAGATAAGGCCATTAACCCTTCGGCTCCCGGGGTGAGAGGTTGGAGACTCATTCCTCCCATAAACTCTTAAAGTCTCCAGACTCCAGGGACCAATAACAAACTAAAGAAACGCAGGGGAAACTGCGAACCTCTCAAAAGGAACGAAAAGAATGACCCCCCCCATAACGTATCCTTGTTGCCTTCTACACTACATACAGTTCATACAGCGCTGACAGCCTCTGTGTGTGTTAAAAAAGGAAACAGTTTGTAAGGACCAGCTTGGTTCAAGCAAACTATTATACAGTATGTGCCTGCTGTACCATATACTTGTACAAAAAAGTATCCTGTTCTCTTTGTATTGCTTCCTTTGTGTGAAATCCCTGGTGTTACCCTACCAGTCCCTCTGCTTTCCTATTAAAACCTAACTGTTCTGGAAATGCCTGCTCCCTCCAATAATCAGACTTGTAAGGACACCCCCAACAACAATTCACTGGGCAGATCAATGTTCTGCTGTTTCTTCTCCCCCACATCTCTATGCAGCTGAGGACACAGCATATGTGATCGCTTGTAAAAAAGGAAAAAAACATGTACTAGGCTTACTTCAGTTTACGAATGGCTTGGTTAACATAATTTTTGGTTTACGAGAATGAATATCCATTCAAAATAATGCCTCGGTTTACTAATTTTTTTCGCAATACGAAGCAAGTTTCCCCAGGATGCATTGCTCCTGGGAGGTGTATAGCGCTGGCCCAGTGCCTTTAAATTGCACTTTATAAAGAGTTTTGAACAGATTTTTTTAAACCTTTTTCTGACCTCCAGAATGGATCAATTGGTTTTCAATGCATTTAAAATTTTTTTTTTTGCAATACGAAGCAAGTTTCCCCAGGATGTTTATAGCGCCGGCTCCTTGCATGCTGGAATCTGTGGGTAGCACGTGGCATTGAGTGTGGAGGAGTCGGAGCAGTGTTTGCATCGAGTTTTGGAGCCATTCTGAAAATGTTTAATCATGTCCCTGTACAGTATTTATGCCTTTAAAGTGCAGTTTTGAACAGATAAAATACTTTTTTTTTTTTTTTTTTTACTTTTTTCTGACCTCCGGAACGGATTAATTGGTTTTCAATGCATTCCTATGGGTAACTGCGTTTCGGTTTACAAATTGTTTGCAATATGAAACGTCCCAGAGAACACATTAAATTCATAAACCGAGGTACGCCTGGTCTGTATTTATAATGTTTTCTTAAATCTATAAACTAAAGCTTTGCCTTTCATTTTACACTGAATGGGTTGTTTTACAAGGTAAGGCTTTACACATAATTTAAATGATAAAATCTCTACCTTTAATGCATTAACAAAAATATGGAAGTGCAAATATATGACAAAGTGAAAGTTTTAAAATTACACAAAAATGAGCTGCACGCTGAAAACAGACTAAACTTTCTGTTTATCAAACAACAATTACAGAAAATCCTCCCCAGCAGTTTCCCCGTCACTGAAATGACATTTGCAATTTGTCTTTTTAAGCTGTAAAATAAGGAAAGGTAGATGTGATTACCATGACGTCGGCTTCCCTTGTGGCATAGCGCAGATTAGGGTCCAGCCAATACATGACAGCTTTGACCTGCTCGAAGTTCAGGAAGAGCAAAAATACCAAAAACAGGAAATAGAGGACACTGAGGCCTGGAAGACAATGACAAACATGACAATTATTGTGTGCAATGTTGGAGTTTAGAAAAACAAAATACTTTATCAAGTTAGGATTTATTTAATGCCACTACAACAGATCACTGAAGACACCCCTTTAGAAGACATGACATTAAAGTGATACTAGACTTTTTTTGTTTTTACTTTAAGACATTCTCTACATTAAGGTGAAAAAATCCCCACTACCTGTCCAACCACCCATCCATAAACACTTACCTGGCTCCATGTCACCTCTCCAGCACTGTCTCAGCGCCAGCACTGCTCGCCTCAATTCCTGGTCTCAGCGGAGAATCTGACAGGCGGGAAGCCATAGGTTCCTGCTGCTGTCAGTTAAACCCTTGTGATGAGTAAAAGGGAATGTGACACCGTGTTTGTGGTAATAGATGCATACAGCCTGGCTAGGGATCCAATGGGAGAGCGCATGCACAGGTGCCTCCTTGCTGCCTCCTTAGCACCCAGGTTGCTACAGGAAGCACCTGTTGGAGAAAGGAGTCAAAAGAACTGGCGGGGACTGCCAGAAGAGGAGGAAAGCAACCTTTTTTACACAATATTGCTGCAGAGAGAAGGTAGGTGGCTGTGTCTGTACAGCTACTGCATCCCACTAGACATGAAGTGACTGCCTGCAAACAGATGCATGGAACACTTGTGCGTCCCAGGTGGGCAAATAAGGCCTTTCACACAGATGTATGCCTAACCACTTCACATCCGCCCTATACCACTTTTACTGCTCCAGGGTGACATTCCTGTGCAAAATCATGTATATACACTATATTGACACAAATATTGGGACTCCTGCCTTTACACGCACATGAACTTTAATGGCATCCCAGTCTTAGTCTGTAGGGTCCAATATTGAGTTGGCTCACCCTTTGCAGCTATAACAGCTTCAACTCTTCTGGGAAGGCTGTCCACAAGGTTTAGGAGTGTGTCTATGGGAATGTTTGACCATTCTTCCAGAAGCACATTTGTGAGGTCAGGCACTGATGTCAGACAAGATGGCCTGCCTCACAGTCTCCGCTCTAATTCGTCCCAAAGGTGTTCTATCAGGTTGAGGTCAGGACACTGTGCAGGCCAGTCAGGTTCCTCCACCCCAAACTCGCTCATCCATGTCTTTATGGACCTTGCTTTGTGCACTGGTGCGCAGTCATGTTGGTACAGGAACGGGTCATCCCCAAACTGTTCCCACAAAGTTGGGAGCATGAAATTGTCCAAAATGTCTTTTGGCCATGGAGGTGATTGGAAAACCTGAATCCAATGATTTGGAGGGCTGGCCCCATACTTTTGGCAATACAGTGTATATGTGATTTTGCACTTCCGCCACACGGGGGCACGAGCTGCCAGAGGATCGCTTCTGCTGTGAAATGTCACAGCACAAAATGATCTATAAAAGTCCCAGTGAGAAGTTGCTTGCTGGCAACTGCAGACCATAGGTCAGTGAGGAAAAACAGAGCTGTGTCTATGTTTACAGTTCTGTTGCTGTTGCTGGGGGGGGGGGGGGGGGGGGGGGGAAGAGTCATGAATCGTGTGTCTCTGTAGAGCTGAGAACATGATCTATCGCTTCCCATAGTAAAGGTACCACCTAGTGTACACAAAGACGCTATAACTTTTGCGCAAAGCAATCAATATACAATTATTGGGATTTTTTACCAAAAATATGTAGCAGAATTCATTTTGGACTAAATTTATGAAGACATTTGATTTTTAAATGGATATGCTTTATAGCAGAAAATAAAAAAAATATTTTTTTTTTTCAAAATTGTCAGTGTTTTTATTGTTTAGCGGAGAGGTGATCAAACACCACTAAAAGGAAGCTCTATTTGTGGGGAAAAAAGGACGTACATTTTATTTGGGTGCAGCATTGCATGACCGCGCAGTTGTCAGTTAAAGTAACGCAGTGCCGTAATGCAAAAAAATGGCCTGGTCAGGAAGGGGGTAAATCTTCTGGAGGACAAGTTGTTAAAGTGGTATTATCCCAAAAGCAAACATTATATTGCAGCTTACCAATTCTTGGATTTGGAGGCTGCATTCATTTTCTTTTATAGGCTTTCTTTCCTCTACTTTCACCTGGTGATCTGGCCAGTAGGTCTGTTGTTTTTTCAAAAGAACAAGCTCTCTTATAGATGTATCAGTTTACAGGGATGGGACAAACCATTTACCTGTGACAGGGGTGCTTACAACGATCAGCTTTTATTTATGTAAAACCTTTATCATAAAAAGGAAAGTGTGAGCTGGAATTTGGCTTCAGTCTGTTAGTGTATCTAAATCTGCTAGTACATCTTACACTCCCCTTCCCCCAGACTGACAATGTTGCTGTCCAAAGGTGCCGCCTGTAATCATTCATCCAGAGTGGAGGCACTTTAATACAGGAGGTGTGTTACTGGTCTGATACCAGGTGAAAAGAGGGGGAAAAAGCCTAAAGAAAACTAATGCAGTCACTACATAAAAGGGTTGGTAAGCTGCAATACATTCCATTTATGGCTTTGGGTTTAATACTGCTTTAAGTATGCCTATGTGATGAGGCCTTAAATTCATTTAATCCAGACTGCAAGAAAACAAAATCTAGAAAAGTCCAAAAGGGAGTAAATACTTATGCAAAAAAAAAACCTCTTTTCAGTTTGAAGAGCTAATAAGTATCGAGCAGAAACAGAAAACAAATCTGAGAAATAAAATGTTTGCGGCAGAGCTGAAGACACAGTGGCTGGATCTGTGATGTGGATGGTGACAGATCTCAGGGTGAGAATGGGAAGCGGGGAGCCAGCGGGGCTCTGGTGCATACACCCAGCCTCTAATCAGATGTTTAACATTCACATGTGCCATCAGGAGGTTACCTAGGAACTGGAGAGTCAGCAGCAAACAATGACAGTTTGGCATGCCTTGATAAATGAGTCCCTCATCTCTAAAATATTCATGAAAAGGCAAAGATTCGGGTGTCACTTCAGGACGCTGCAAACGAGGTATGAAGGAAGATGTCATTCCTCGGTGAAGGAATGTTTGGATCAGCTTGTAAAGTACATTGTTTGCTTGTCAGAAAAAGTTCTACGGGATTCCACTGAATATTAAGGCTCAGCTCTAGGATCAGCAAAACCCTTTTTTCCTTTAGGCTGGTCATACACCATACAATCTGATTTTACAACTTTCCTTAGATTTACCAAAACTATATAATATGGGGACAAATTTAACCTCTTGCCAGGGGCGAACTGACCATTTGGAAAACTCAGGCACTGCCTGAGGGCCCGGTGTCAGTAGGGGGCCCCATGAGATGCCCCTGGTACCTTTTTCATAGGCTCTTTTGAGTTAGGGCAAGGACACAGGGGCCCCATGATCCCCTATTGCCTGGGGGCCCCATGAGTTGTCAGTCCTGCTCTGCCTCTTGCCACCCATGTAAATGCATATGTGCAGTGGCAAAAGGGGTTGGCTTTAACGCCCACATCCTGCACATGTGTGTCTATGGACGGCTGAGGTTTCTGTGCCGAGGTTGCACTAAACGCACACTAACAGCACAGTGACTGAGCGGTCATATATTCAGCTCTAGTAATGATCAGTAGTTCCCGATCATGTGATCACTCTGACAGCAAAACATAGTGGGCACATGATCAGGCAGTCCGTCCCACCCATGGGCATAAAAACCCAGTTAAAAGGTTGCCAGGGATGGGCAGGAATGATTACACAATCTATTGTATCTGTATCAAACCAGGCACTGCATATCTAACGGTGGATCTAAGGGTAACCATACATGTTACAATCTGACCATACAATCTTTGTACAATCAATTTTAGTTTTACCAAATATATGTAATATGAGGACCTACTTAATCCATCCAATCATTCTACATGTAATCAGACAGGCCCTTGCCCTTGGTAAATGTAAAGCTCACCATACACATTACAATCTGGTTATACAATCTCCTTTAAATCTACCAACTGTGTATCTATAGCGATCAGATACAGATTGATTGGATAGATTAGGTACAGCCTCCTATTGCATAGTTTTGGTAATTCTAAAATTGCGTCTATGGTGAGATTGTAATGAGTATGGTGAAGTGGGGAAGGATTAGAAGCTCTGTCAAGTATTACCGGCTATGCCCCCCCCACCATTTCCACTCACATTAATAGAGATGAGAAATCACTGCCCACATAAGAGATATGTTCAATTTTGATGTAACCTTCATATACTGTATCTCTTGTGATGGCGAGATCTCTACGTTCTTCCAGGTATTTACACCTGCTGTAGCCATTATAAGGCCTCTTTTATATGCAGCCAGATATCTTCTGCAAACAGGGGCGGACTGACCATTTGGAAACTCAGGCACTGCCCGAGGGCCCGTGGTCAGTAGGGGGCCCCATGAGATGCCCCTGGTACCTTTTTCATAGGCTTTTTTGAGTTTGGACAAGGACACAGGGGCCCCATGATCCCCTATTGCCCGGGGACCCCATGAGTTGTCAGTTCGCCCCTGGCTGCAAACATTGGCGGGTTCTTGCTGCTAGAATGACCAGGTTATGCAATCAGAAGCAGAAGGTCGGCCCATTTAAAAACTAATGGTGGGTTCACATGTAGCCACACACAGAGCTGTGGTTTATTATTATACAGGATTTCTATAGCCCCAACAGTCTGCACACCACTTTACATTATAAAGGGGTACAGTACAATTACAATACAGTTCAATCCTGTCTAAATTGACCCTAGTATGTGTATGTATGAATGTGAGTTGGGGACCTTGGATTGTACACCCCTTCAGGGTTAGGGACTGATGTGAATGTACAATATATATGTAAAGCGCTGCATAAATTGACAGCATTATATAAGTACCTGAAATAAATAAATAGAGAAGGAATAGGAGGACAGATTACTTTTTTTCCTGCATTTCGAAGTTCCAGCTGTACAGCCGCTTTAAGAGCATTTCTAATTGGAATCTGGACACACGCTTTCTTTAAACACAGATAAACTGACCACCATTAAAGTTTAAACCCCAAACCCAAAATCTAATAGATTGCAGTTTACCAATCCTTAGATGTGGTGGCTGCATTAGTTTTCTTTTTTAGGCTTTCCCCCGTCTATTTTCACCTGGGGATCTGGCCAGTAACACACCTCGTCCCTTCTGTATTAGATTGTCACTCTGGATGAGGGAGCACAGGGACACCTGCCAGGCAAGCGGACCGGAACCTTGGACAGCAAGCATTGTTAGTCTGGGGAGTGTCAGATGTACTAGCAGACTGAGATACACTAAATCTGCTAGAACATTGGCAAAAGCTCGAGCTCACACTTTATAAGCAGTTACAGCAAACAGTTTTTTTTTTTTTTTTTCCTTTTCGGATAAAGGTGTTACATACATAAATAAAAGCGGATCATTGTAGGCACCCATATCAGTGGTAAATGCTTTGTCTCAACCCTCTTAACAAACTTGGGGAGAGCTTGTCCTGTTGAAAAAACAAAAGCCCTACTGGCCAGATCACCAGATGAAAATAGAAGGAAGAAAGCCTAAAAAAAGAAAACTAATGCAACCATCACATCTAAGAATTGGTAAGCTGCAATATAATAACTGTTTTCTTCTGGGATTTAATACTGCTTTAAATGCAGGTAAATACACAGCATGAATTAAAAAAACAATTACACGCATCTGCAAATGTCCTCTAAATGCATTGAAACACAGGTCAGATAGTGCCAGTGTGAACAAGGCCCTAAAGTGGAACTGAACTCAAAAAGTGAAGATTTACTGTTAAAAAAGGACACATCTAGAAATGTCCGTACCCTGTACTTCCCTAGTATGAGTGTGCCTAGACACACCTGGGCCTACTGCCTCATGTCTGTATATATGCAGTGTGAGATCTAAGGCACTGTACTCAAGTCTCAGGAAATGTGTAGTGAGTATTGGTGAGGTCAGTACTGTACTGATCACTGTTCTCTTTGCTGAAGGCTCTGCCACAAAGGAAGAGAAAAATCCTGGCCTCTACCAAGATGGCTGCCCCCACAGAGAGACTCGGTGCAGAAGAAAGAGTGGTAATTCAGTAATGGGGAAAAGATCAGCAGCAGGGAGACAACAGGCAATGTGGGTGAGTAGTCCTTTGCCCTCTTCCAGCCTAATTTTGGGAATGGCTTTCCAGTGTTTCAGTTCTTCTTTGGGAACTTAAAGGAGAAGTACGGCCAAAAATCGTTTTCCTGTACTTCTCCTGGAGATGTACAGAAGTGCAGTTCGTTCTGCACTCCTCTGACCTGGGGGTGGTGGTGGGGGGATTGGCAGAGCACACAGCCACCACTCTCTGCTCAGACTGTAAAGGAGAACAGCTGAGTGATCAGCACTGCCTGTTCGTTCAGTTCCCCAGCCATAGAGCCAGTGGGGCACAGATGCAGCATCGGAATCTTTAAAGTGGCGAATGAAAAAAACTTACCTCCTGAATCCCCCGTACAGCTGCTTACATTCAAATTGCTGAGGAATCACTTTAGGAATACCACAATCCCAGTGTTGTTACACTACATATGGTAAGAATATACTGGGCCTATCCAAAGAAACAATAATGTTCACTTACAAACACCATCTCTCCATAGTGCAGGGGTGTGGCCTTGTAAAGGGACCTACAACAATACAAATCAAGTCAAAAGACATAATAGAATATAACAGAATAGCAGTTTATATGTATTTATGGGAAGTGAAATATATCATGGGTGTGCATTAGAGGGGAAGTACAGTATAAACTGGTTTTGTACAGAATTCCCCTTTCATTTCTTCACTTATGGAGGTCAGCAGCTAAAGCAATGACTAGTAAAACCAAACTCCAGGCAAACTGCTAAAATAAAAATACATATAAAAAGGTATCTGTTTTACCTGCCAAAGGGTTTGCATTTTTGTCCATCTATTTCTGAGGTTTACACATACCTTGTCACACTGCCCATTCAAGCAGGGAAGGGACCTGATCTTTCTCTGCCGAGGGTCTCATCCCCAATCTGGACAGTAAAAGGAGAAGTAGAATACTGGCAAGCTAAATTCTGTCACTCTGTTCTCTCCTGGTAACAGCATGCTCAGGGCGTATTTACCACAATGCAAACAAGGCGTTTGCCTAGGGCGGCATTTTTTAAGGGGGCGGTGCCGCTTCCCCTTCCCTGCTGACAACCGCCCACCTGTCACTTGCCCTCCTCTCCCCCTGGGTGATCGGTGATTTTTTTTGCCCCCCCATCACCAAGGAGCCAGAGAGCAGACATCTGGGCACAGCACAGCTCCTATGACAAGAGTTTAACAAGAGGCTGCAGCTGGAGAAGTGCATCCTGGCAGCTCATCCTTCCCCTCTCTTTCTCGCTCTCACTCCCCCCCCCCATCTCTCACTCCCCCCCTCACTATCTCACTTTTTTTCCCCCTCTCTCTTTTTCCCCCTCTCTCTCCCCCTCTCACTCTCTCACACCGTTTTCCCCCCTCCCCCCCTTCACTCTCTCACTCCCCCCTCTCTCACCCCCTCCCCCCCTCCCTCTCTCCCCCTCACCCCCCTCTCTCACTTTTCCCTCCCTCTCTCACACTTTCCCTCCCCCTCACTCCCCCCTCTCACTTTTTTATCTCCCTCCCCCTCTCGCCCCCCCTCTCTCACTCCCCCCCTACCCCCCCCCCCCCCTAACTTCCCCACCTCTCTCCCTCACCCCCCCCCCATCTCTCACCCCCCCCGTCTCTCTCACCCCCCCTCTCTCTCACTTTCTCCCCCCCCCTCCCTCTCCTCTCTCTCTTTGCTGGAGGGGGAGGGGGGGGGGGTAAATTTTTGTGTTGCCTAGAGCAGCACAAAAGCAAAATACACCATTGAGCATGCTTCATGCATGGTAGCACAACTGACTGGCTCCTTGTTCATGACGTTGATGTGTTGAAAGTAGAAAAGGGACAAGAGTAAGGATTTGAGCGACTTTGACAAGGGCCAAATTGTAATGGCTGGACAACTGGATCAGATCATCTCCAAAACGACAGCTCTTATGTGATGTTCCTGGTCTGCAGCGGTCAGGACCAACCAAGAATGGTCCAAGAAGGAAAACTGGGTGGGTAGCCAAGGCTTGTCGATGCTCTTGAGGAATGAAGGCTGGCCCGTGTAGTCTGATCCAATACAATATTTACTGTAGATCAAATTGCTGAAAAATGTAATGCTAGTTCTGATAGAAAGGTGTCAGAACACACAGAGCATTGCAGCTTGTTGTGTATGGGACTGCGTAGCCACAGATTAGTCAGGGTTCCCATGTTGACCCGTGTCCATAGCCAAAAGTGCCTACAATAGGCAATGAGCATCAGAACTGGACCATGGAGCAAAGGAAAAAGGTGGCCTGGGCTGATTTTAAGAATGGTTGGAGGAACACGATGAGTTTAAAGGAGTTGACTTTGCCTCCAAATTCTCCAGATCTCAAAGGTCTAGTGGAATCCATGTCTCAAAGCATATGGTGCGTGGTCTCCGCCTCCCCCACCCACCTTCGAGCACCATCACATGGTTCTACCCCTACCCATCTCCCCAGTACCGTTCCATATAGAGAATACAGAATAATGTATAATTTTGTGGTGCTAAATAATTTGTATGAAATTTGTTAAATAACAAGAAAAGCAGAAAAATAGATCTTCCACAGCCAGCAGCAAAGGACCCCCCCAGCTTCCTCCAGCAACAACTGACCCCCATTAATAATAGATCCTCTTCAGTGACATTAGATGCCCCAGCACACTTCAGAACCCCTTGCAATTACATACATGTAGTGCTGGAGGTACCAGAACTGCATTCCCCTGCATTTCCTCTGAAAAAAAAAGATCAGAGAGGACTATGAACCATTTGGGTATGCTGCATGCAAACTGGTTGACAAGGATAGGAGGAGATAGCACAGTGAGTACAGAGATGACATCTGGACTTTAATGTCCAGTCAGAAAACTGGGCGTGGAGACAGCACACCAATATACTGTTTAAAGTGTTACTAAACCCGGACCCTGCATTCACTATATCGGTCCCCCACAGTACACACAACATGGAAACACAATTACCTCAGTAAATATAAACTGCTAAATACCTTTTCTAATCAGCAGTATATAGCAGTCCTGTGAAGTCTATCAGTGTCCAGCTGACCACATGTTAAAGCTTTTAGGAGGAATTTTCGTTCTGCTCAAGGAGGATGCAGAACCCCTGACCTCTGCCTGGACAGTGCGGATTGGCCCTGTGCTGATCACATGCACCCTCCCAAAAAAAACAAAACAAAAACAACTCTAGCAATACAAACCAAACTGAGCATGTGCAGAGTGCCTCCTAGGGCTTTTTATTTTTAGCAGATGGATTGGGGACTGTGGAAGAAGGGGAGGGTCAGAGAAGACTGGATCAAACAGCCTTTTTACACAATGTGGAGGATTAACCCCTTAGGCTCGACAGTGAGTATAACAAGCATGCTTTACTGCATATACAGACCGATTTTACTGTTGTGGGTTTACTAACACTAACTGTAAGTGGAGACATTCACCTGGCTGTGCTGTGGAGCTGTGAAAATCTCAGGACTGGATGGACACAAGCAAAAATCCTTTGGCAAATAAAACAGCTCCTATATAGGTTTTTACCTGCATATTCAGCTGTTTGTCAGGAGTTCAGCTTTAACTTGTTTCCTGCCATTTTTGTATTTTTACGCTGTTGGCTGGAGGTTTATAGGCATCGCACAACAATCTACAACCAGAGCCTGGCTTTCATTTTGGAATAGATAAATGCCTTACCATTAGGAAAAGCTAAGACACTGATGATTAGAAAGAAGAAAATGACTGAAAGGATGCCTTTCCAAATATTGTCCTCTTGGCTTGTGTTCTCCCTGCAACACAAAGAAAAGCATGTGGTTAAATACTTCTACAACATTGTGCTCATATTATTGTTTGTTCTTCCAAATGGAAAAGTAGGTTAGTGTGTACAGAGCTGGTGGAACAGTAAGTAATTGAGACCTTTCAGAAAACTACTTTGTAAAGTTAAGCTGTCCAACAGCCTGGCGCTCCAGTGAGCACTGGAGGGGCAGAGCAGAGAGTGGTGACTGACAGTCACCGCTCTCTACCCAGAGCGGACTGAGAGACCTGGCAGATATGGGATTGCTCAATTCTTGGGATTAGAGCTGCGGTGAGAGCTGTAACTTCACAGTGATGCTACAGTAGGGAGGCGAGAATTGTGCTTGTTTTGATTTATTTCCAAACTTCTCCTTTAATTTAATGATAGCAAGCAGTGCCAAGCTGCAGTTATGATTCAGTCAATGTCTTGGAACAGAAGATTATACCTTGTTTGCTCTCCCATTGTAACGAACAGGCCACATTATACACCACCATAGTAAATATGCAGACTATTTGCAGTCTCACTACTCCATAGCCAAATAATAACCTATATTGGACTAACAGGTTCTGTTAACATCGGTCCATACCGATTTTTGTTGGTTTTCGTGAGGGGGGGTGTAAAGCTAGTCATACACTAGATTTTTGTTCAAACATTAGAAGGAAAATTCTCATCAGTATATCTGATGACTTGACTTGTTGTAAAGTACTTCAAAAAAATATTTCTTTCAGTATTCAACTTTAGAGTGAAATGGACTTTACCATAGACCACATATACCGTTAGAAATGTGATCTTACGAGAAAAATTTTCCATCCTTCTTCAAATTGTTTTCATCACTGCAGTCAAAAACAAATGCCGACTAGACTCCACTATCAATTTATTTATTTTTTATTTTTCAGGTACTTATATACTGCTGTCAATTTACACAGCGCTTTACATATATATTTTACAATCACATCAGTCCCTAACCCTTAAAGGGCGTACAATCTAAGGTCCCTAACTTACATTCATACATACACATATTAGGGCCAATTTTAAAACAGGATCCAATTAACCTACCAGCATGTCTTTGGAGTGTGGGAGGAAACCCACGCAGGGACAGAGAGGACATGCAAACTCCAGGCAGGTGATGCAGTGACTGAGATTCGAACCAACAAGCTTAGCACTGCCAGGTGGAAGTTCTAACCATTTAGCCACTTATCAATTAGAAAATCTAATAATCACGCTTAAAACAAAAATGAATACAATTCTAGTAAATGTATAGCCAGCTAAGGGGAAGTTTTACTAAAGATCTGTTAAAACTAGTGCAACTTATGTGACTTTGGACACAGTCACAATCCATTGATTTCAACGGCACCCATTCCATTCTATGCTACTTAAAGTCGCAGCGACTATAAAAAGGTTCCTGCAGTATTTTAATGTGACTTGGGTGCCAGACAGTGTAAAGTTGCATGAAAAACTGCATCAAAGTCACACTCCAAAGTCGCACTGGGAGTCGGACTAGTGTGAACTGAGCCTAAAACTGGAGCACAGAGAACCTGCTGCAACTATGCATGGACGCCAACCAGCTTCTAATGTCAACTTGTTCAATTAAGCTTTGACAATAAAACCTGGAAGCTGATTGCATGGTGCACCAGATTGTGCACCATGCAGATTTAGTAAATACCCCCCTAAGTCTCAGATATCTGGTGACCCCGATCATATACAGACCATCGCTAGCCACTGAACGATCCTAATTTTCTTAGTTAGCTTGGGGCCCAGATGCTCCAATTCTGAATGCTGTGCCAATGTCGACTTTGTATTTGTGAATACCAACTATACAATCACCATGACTTAGAGGATTCACGAAGGCTAGGTTCACACCCAGCGTCTCATGAATGCACGTTTTTGCGCACTCACACCACATGCCTAGGGCAGCCCTTGTAAAATTCAAAGTACTAAACACAACATACAAACCCATCCACAACACTGCCAACCCTCTGCATCACCAACCTCATCTGGAGATATTGCCCAAGTTGTTCTCTCTGTTCCTCCCAAAACATCTTGTTCTCTATCTCCCTTGTTATCTCCTCCCATGTTTGCTCCAAGGACTTCTCCAGAACTACTCCCATCCTCTGGAACTCCCTACCCAAGTGTGTCAGGTTAGCTCCTACGCGGTCCACCTTTAGGCAAACCTGGAAAATCATTTATTTAAGGAAGCCAACCCTACCTCCAGCTAAGAACTCCACTTAGGCCACCTCCATCAGATTGTACCCCACAACTAATAACTTTTGTACCACTTCCCTCTCCCTTTAGATTGTAAGCTCCCTGAGCAAGTCCCTCCTATTCCTTCTGTACTGAACTGTATTGTAATCGCACTGTCTTACTTTATGTTGTAAAGTGCAGTGCAAACTGTTGGCACTATAAAAATCCTTTTTGGGCGTTAAGCTGTGCACATTTTGAAAATGCACACCTAGTTGCCGTGGTCAGGGTGCCATTTACAGTGAATTGCACTGCATGCATGACATGTACTTTTTGCACGTGCCATGAACGTGTGCAAAAACATGTACTTTGGCGTGCATTCACAGAATACTCCAGTGTGAATGCAGCCTATGTACTCGAAGAAGTGTTAGTGATTGTTCCACTACAACAGGAGATACTAAAATTAACCCAACATGTCTTGTCAAACATTTCCAGAACCAAAAAGATTCATAAAAGGTGAAAAAAAAATCTGCTTATCAGCCAGTGACATATTTCTGAAGATTATAAGGCTTTCTGCCCACCAGTGCAACCAAAGATTTTAAGCTTCTTATTCTCGGATAAGGAAAACAATCTACACTACCACAACATTTATACCGAAAAGTACAACTTTATTATATAAAGTACATTGTTATATGTGACGGGAGTGACTTTTGGGGGTGGGGGGACCTCTGTGTCAGCTCATGTTCCCCTCATTAGGTTTAATTCACCCTGTGCCTGTTAAGGGTGTGAATGTGAATGTCCTAGTATTGCGTATTGGTGTGTTGTCCTTTGTTCTCGGCCATGTGACAGAGGTGATTAAATACCACCGAAATAAAGCTCTGTCTCAAAAAAATGATAAAAATTTCATATGGGTACAGCGTTGCATGACAGCGCAATTGTCATTCAAAGTGCGACAGTGCTGAAAGCTGGAAATTGACCTGGGCAAGTGCCCTGTAGGCTAGTGGTTAAAGATAAGCACAGGAGAACCTCCCAAATGCCCAGAATGCACTGAAACGTGGTAAATTATTAACTATTTCAGACTGTTTCAGAGAAATACAGAGAGTAGAAGCAGAGACAGCAGTATGTGTTGACATTAGCTAGGTGTGAGTTGCTCATTAACATTTCTTTTGTTTCCAAGGGTGGGAAAGGTGTCTGGTGCAGTGAGTCATTAAGGCCTCCTGGTCTTCATGAGGAATTTGAGGTGTGAATGGTCATTAACATATCTTCTGTTTCCAAGGGTGGGAGAGGTCTGAATTGGTCATTACAATGTGTGACAAGCTTGGTAGGAACCTCCTATGTTCAGTGTTTTCTCCATTTGAGTACCTTGAAAACGCTTTGCATGCATTTTTCATGATGAAAAAAGGCTCTGGACAGCATCGGGAACTGAAACGCCTTTAGAAGCGTTTTGCGTTTGAAACGCTGATAAAATTGTCTGCTGAACGCAAGTTTTCTGCATTCAAAAAAAAAAAAAAACGAAGATGTGTACACGAACACATAGGAAAACATTAGGGTGAGTTCAGGGGCTGCTGAAAAAAAACCGCTGAACAGATCCTAAACGTGAGTTTATCAGCTGCAGTGTACATGAGCCCTAAGTCCCGGTCACAGTGGATGCGAATTGGCATGTGATTGGTATGCCATGCGACTTGCAAAGCGCATGCCAAGTTGCACCCTATTGTCTGTAATTAGAGCGGTCATATTGGTGCGGTTCTGACTTGGTCAGAGCCGCACCGATTTCTTAAGTAATACATGCACTATTTTTGGTGCAATTTGCATAGACATCCGTGTCAGATGTCTTACAAATCGCACCTGAAATCGGCATGTCATCCGACTTTGAAATCAGTGAAGTTGCACGATGGCTGCGATTGGCCCTGTCTGTATCATGTGACTGCCTTGACCAGTCACAGCTAACAACACAATTGTACACAATGGATGGCATGACGGAAAGCAATCCATTGTATACAAATGACATTTGATCGGCTGTGATTGGTCACAGTGGTCACATGACACTGGTAACTGGCTGGTGTAGTGATACGGCATCCAAAAATGATGATGATGACACAGCCGGTGACAGATTGCGCCACTGCGTGGCCCCGTGTGACGCACAATCACAACGCCGAGTGTCCCGCCCGCCGTCAACCTGCTATAGGCCAGGCGGGAAGGTGTTAACCGCTTGCCGCCCTGCCACTGTGTATATACGTGTGCAGGGCGGCAGTGGAGCGCAAAACCACGTTTAAAAAACGGGTTCCGCGCTCCCGACACTTTCGCCGGCAGGGGGCGCGCTCCCGCCGACCCGCGGGTGACACTATTTGATCCAGGAGGGATCAATCATTAGATTTCAGCCAGTGATTTCTGGCTGAAATCACATGATCGGTCCCTGTCCTATCCTGTCCTGTGTTGACATACACACAGGGCAGGATATGCTGTCATTCTTCTCGGCCTGGACACATTCCATTCCAGACAGAGAAGAAGACATCCAAAAAGTGAGTACACAAGCACTACACTACAGTTAGAACACTCTAGGACACATTTAACCCCCTGATCGCCCCCCCCCCCCCTCCAGTTAACCCTTCACTGCCCTGTCACCAGTGTTACTGATCAGTGAAGCGATTTTTACTGATCAGTGTCGCTGGCGACTTCCGATAGAGTTAGCGCCCCTCCCAGATAGCGCCAGATTGCCCGCCAGTACACCAGTAATCCCGTTTAACCCCTTGATCCCCCCCCCTCCAGTTAACCCCTTCACTGCCCCGTCACCCAGTGGCACTGATCAGTGAACCAATT